TCACCAGATGTTGTGTTAGTGCCTCAGTTATGCATCTGTAAATAGATGCATCCCTGGACAGCAGGCGCATCTTCAAGTTGTTTGCGTTGCCTGTCACCTTGCACAACTCCTTGTGCAGCGCCTTGGCAACCTTTTTAAAATTATGGCCACTTGGCTTGACATTCACCTCGGAACCTTTGATCTGTTCAGGAACGACTCCGCCAGTGACTTGCTGATGGCCCATGTCGTTGGTAGTGATATGAATGCCTGAATGTATCGGACTTTTCATAAATCTTTGAGTCAATGCAATGGCCATAAGCCTGCAGCTGATATCATCCCACTGATGGGCTGCAGGTGCTGCGGTCTCAACCGCAGCTTCAACTCTGACCGATGACTCAGTGCATTGAACGAGGGCGGATGGTGGTTTTCCTCCAACCACGTGGGTGTCACCAGTCTTGGCTTCCACCGGTGACTTGACGGACTGAACGGGGGTGGAAGGTGGTTTTGCTTCAACCTCCACAGGTGTCACGCAGCAACTTCCTACAACTGAGGGGGTCTCAGTGAGCGATTCCTGACAGACCACTTTCTGGATCTGCTTCACAGCAAGACTAGCATGGTCCCTCTTGCATTTGTGGAGCTTTAGCTGCCGGTTGAGCCAGTTCCTAACCTGCCACATAAAAGTGTCGACTTCGCTCTGTACCTCAAAGCCGAAGCCCACTGTGGGAGCCTCTGGCTGTAGGTGCACCCAAACGATATAACTGAGATTGCTGCCAATAGAGTCAATTACCTCATCAAGTATCTCGTCTTCTGTGGCCTTCCTTACATCCTCTTCATTTAATAAGATGATGCTCCTAACTATTTCATCAACCTCCTCCATTAGCTGGCTCAGAGAAGACGGTTCTTTTGGGACGCATTCATATTTAGATTGTAGTTTTGCCATTAGACCGAGTAGTGACTCCATGGCAAAACGCTTCGCGAAAAAGGCCTTAAGTGTAATTCCCAGTGTTTTCCAGTCGGACCTATTTTCCGATTCGTCCAGCGATTCAGGATGTGAACCATCTGAATCTAGATGTAACTCCTCCATTATCTGTCTAACAATGGCAGAAACCATCTCATCTGTGTCCTGAGAGGATCCAATCTCAAAAATGTCCACTTCTTCCTCAGAAATTTGGACATTATAATTAATAGGACTGATGTCCTCAGCCCTTTCTCGCAGGATGCTTCTTACTGCTTTGGTTATTTTGTCCTTGAAGCTCATCTGAGATTCCCCTGTTCCAATCAGTGTAATGTCCCCCAGTGGCAAGTTTGCCAGTGTTACGTTGTGTTCTGCAGCCTCCATTGTCAGGCTTTGCTGACCTTTCTTACTGGCGCAGTTTATCAATATTTTGACCACATGTCGGACCATGGTTTTCAGTCTATTGAGGAAGGAATGTATATATAACATGAGAGGTTGGCTCCCCTCATTGCTTTCAATACTCTCAGAGCTTTTGGAGAACCTATTCATTCTCTCTGTGACCTCTTTAATCATAGCGTCTGTTAGTTTTTTTACGCTTTGAGAACGGATTTCTGGGACACCGATGGCCTCCGCAAAGGCCAGTGAGATAGCGTCCCCGAGACAACCGCGGACGTCGTCTTCAGACACGCTGCTCTTCTGTGATCCGGCTGATCCAGCAGAGCTTTTGGAGGATTTGGGAGTGTCTGTCCCCTTCTGTTTCCTCTGACTGAACACCCCATACATGTGGAGGAATATCGTATTAACGACATCCACGCAAATGTTCATTATGACCTCTTCGGTCTCCTTTTCGAGGGACCCGGATTTCAGAAGCGACCACTCTATGGTTGTCAGCTTCTCCAGGCACTGTCTGATGTGTGCGCGAAGACTCTCTGTTGTGGATTGATCCATCTTGTCTTTGTCTTGTTTCTGTTATACTTGGATCCAAAGTCCTGAAGAATCTGTGCTCCCTGTGTTTGTTTCCTTGTGTTCGAAGTGAATCTGAACTGAACCAGGTTGGATTTAGATCCTATTTATACATTTTCAGACGGAATGTTCGCCTTTGTATCAAAGCAACATTCTATTGGCTTTGATCTTTGAATGACATCACGACATTGCAATGACATCACAGAAAAAGAGTAAATTAATAAAAAAACACAACATTCCGATA